TATTGAGCCTTGACCTAGTTCATTGTGATGAGAGAGAAAAATAAAATCAGAGATAACAGAACCGAGGAGAAAATGCAGTCAGTTGTATGAAAAGGCAACACTTCCCTGTACAACGATGCCCAGATACTTTAAAAAAAAACAAAAAACTTTCTAATACTCCTATATGTGTTATCAGTTGTTAAATGCTTATTCACTGCCCCTTCGCTTTCTATTAAATGTATTTTAATATTATTTAAGCAGATCACAGTGATTATAGATGCATTAATATAATTGAAAATGGAATGGTGAGATGGTTGTGAATTTTTGAGGGCTTTGTGTGACAGTAGTTGATGTATGCTGTTGCAGTAATGCTCATCCTCTCCTACATTTTTGAGGCAGTTAAGCTTCATGTTCAGTATTCTTATAAGCAAATTATTTTTTTTTAATATTGTGTAATAATTGTGGTGAGGTTTTAATGTGAATGTTTATTACCTAAATTCCACTAAAGATAGTATTGAGCATTGCTTCCATACAAATGAGATATTTGTAGTCATTACTTTGAAGGTAGTAGTTAAATGTGCTTTTGATTGCATTTGTCACATAAGTGAAACCATATACCTGTGGTATTGGTGCCTGTTCTTTTCTATCTCCTGTTCCAGTTTGTTGTCCTGTATTACAGTGGGCTGTGAGCTGTCTGTTATTCAGATGCCCTCTTTCTGCCATCACCACTGATGTTTTGCTTGCTGTAGGCTCTAGCTCCTTGTCTTTTTTTTAATTTGGCTTTTGAGAACTTTCTCAAGTAAAATCTATTAGAAATCTGAAAGATAGGGCTAGGAAAGCCTATTTCAGTTACCACCTGGGACTTGGGAGACCCAAATTCCATTCCCAGCTCTGTCATTATCAGGTGGAGACTTTCCTTTCCCTCCTGTCTTGTCTGTGTAGACTATTGGTTCTCAAAGACTCAAGGCACCCCTTGGAAAATGGTAGCTCTTAGCTTTCACTCATTTCTTGACTACAGAACAATAATAGAACATTTTTTTCTGTTGCAAAGCACTCAGAAAGACCACAGTAGGTCAGAATGTTTTTGACACTGGATTCCTATTTGAAAATCCTGGATTTTTCTTGTGAATCTTGTGTAGTTGTTTGCACACCTAACTGTGCTAGATATTGTTCATCACCTTTAAAAGGATATTGTGATGCCCTAGTTGAAAATCACTGATTTAAACCAGGGGCTTCTTGAGACAGGGATTATCTTATATTTCATGTGTGTACAACACAGAATGCTGGGGCTTGGTATCTGTTGGGCCCTCTAGGTCTTGTAGTAGTAAAAATAATTAATAAAAGATGATTACAGGAAAATCATCTTGGCTGTACAAATTCAATTTTGAAAGAACACCATGCAAGATTTAAGTTTTGCCATCCAAGGCGATTGTAAATAAGGTCCTTCTGCAGTTTTGAAGTTCTTCCATTTCCATTTAATATTGAAATAATTCATATTGATAAAACAAACACAACTGTTTTGTTGACCCCTTTTCTAATCCAACAGCAGAGATGTCAGGATAGCTCACAGGCTAGTGTTTCTGGGCTAATCCTTTCTACACAGAACAAAACTATAAACTTTGAATCTCTTTCTTTTTATGTTTCTGTTGTCAAAATAGCTTTTTAAGGATGCAGTATGATTGAGAGGCCTTTGCTTAGTAAAGTAATATTTTTTGAGGTATGCCACTGAACTATGAGATGCAAACTATTTGACATTGAGACCTTTGGGGTTTGATTCTGTTGCATGGGGTTAACATTTAAAAGATTACTTGTCTTCATGCACGACATGAGAGGTACAGTAGAACAGGAGGCACAAATTATCAATTTGACCAACTGATTTTTACTTCCATCCACCACTGTATTTTGCTGATATGTTTTCTCTCAAGATGTTTAGCACAGTCCAACATTTTAAACATAGCTTAAGATATCAAATAACCGTTGGGATATTTCAGTATTTATTTTAACAAAGGGTCTCTTTCCAGGAGATTTGTAAATCATTTAAGATTGAATATCTGTGTCCTATGCCAGCAATACCATTTAATGATCATGGGTACATATTGTTCCTTTAGTGAAGGAAAACTTAAAATTAAAGAAGAAAAACATTACTCCTACATGCTGTGTTAAAGAAGTCCTCGAAGGCATCCGGTCACCAAGTGCTGCTGTTCCCTCAGTCGTATCAATAAGTGGCTTCTTTTTGTGTCCTGTTAAATGATCACTGGCTTCCAACACACTTCAGCCATATGTTTTAAATAAATATTTGAATTTGCTCAGTAGCCTTTAAAGCCAACAAAATGCATCTTCAGGAGATTGGATGACAAATTTTCTCTTTAGTTTGGGTAGAAACAGCCACCTACAACTTAATGTTAGTCTCCCCTCTAGCACTCCCAACGTCATGTTCATGTTGTGGCCTTTCTCCGGCCTAGACCTTCCTTCAAAGCCTATCAGTGCAACTCTGAGTGCTGTGGAGACTGATGTGTTAAGGAGGTCTTAACAGACCAGCTGTGGAGACTGATCTTTCCTTTTGCCTACCCCTCCCCTCTCCTCCCAAACTCATCTGACTCACCCCCAGCCTGAAGTAGTTTCTCTTTCGTGTTTCTGTCCCTGACTGCTTGGGGTATTTGGGGACTAAATCAAGTTTATCCAAGGCCAAAGCAAGTGATAGCTAGGCAGGAATATGAGATTAATATGAATTTGGCTTTGCCATGTAACAGGTGCTTCTAAACACATGCACTCTTGCAGGCTTGCCTCATACCCAGGGAGAACCATTTCTTAGAAGAATATAGTGTTGGGAATTCAAAGCAGTTTCTTGAAAGGAACTGGCATGACTCAAAGGATTTGTCTGTAAGATTACCACTTTTTGCCCAGTTTAGGCCAGGGGTGACTGAACATTGTCAATACATAATAAGAAGTGTAAGAATAAGGCAATGACAGGTTTTTGGTTGGCTGCGTGAAATGGAATAGACGGTTTCAGTACACTTCAGTTAAGTAGTGAAAAACCATCACCACCACAGTTTGCATTCTCAACAGATGCCTTAAGCCAGGGGTTGCCAATGTTTTTGGTATAGTGCTAAAAACACCCACAACCTTGATTTGTAAGATGTTGGTGTGCCAGGAGCAGATGGCTGGGAGAGCCACAAGGGGCCTGATCTTTGTTGTGGCAGTGCAGCCCCCGCCCTTTCCTCCCTGTCCACCCCAAGGTGCACATGCATGCGCTGCCAGCAACACGCTGGACCAGGGCATTGTGGGCCCCTGTGCAGCCACTTGCAACCTTTTGGCTGCCTGCCACAGCCAGCCCAAGCTCTGGGCAGTCCCATGCTCAGGTGGCGGGGAGGCTGCAAGCAGTTGCACCAGGGTCCACAGACCCCCAGCCCAACTAGGTGCAGATGGTAGGGAAGGAGCTGGAGCTGGAGCTGCACTGCCACAAGGATCAGGCCTGTCACGGCTGCCCTGCCATCTGCCCAGGTACACATGCCAAGCAAAATACCTTTGTATGCCACGCTCTGGCATGTGTGCCTGGGGTTGCCTACCCCTGCCTTAAGCTTTTAATTGGTTATAGGAGAGGAGCTAGACTCTCACTTCTGTAAATTCTCTTTAGAGCAAGTTTATTGTTGTGGCCCTGTGGCAGAAGTCTATCTTGTTAGGCAACAGGCTTATTATTTTATGTGCAGTTTTATTGTTGGTGAAGAAATTACCAAAACAACAACACAGGAGTCTGAATTTCTCCATTTCGCCCATAGAACACCCTTCAGAGTATTTAGTTTGGCAGCCTTTTCACCAACAATAAGACATTGCATAAAAAAGTAAACATGTTGTCTTAAAAAGTCAGATGTACGTCAGTTTCAGGCAGATAAGGCATGCTTGCAGTAGTTGTGACTTGCTCTCTCTTTTGGCTGTCTGAAGCAAAGCATTAATGTAATTTGTTTAGGAAATCTTATGGCTTATGTTTCTCCTGTTGTTTCTTGTGTAATATGTAGTGTGTGAAAACCATATCTAATGCACTTATTCAGCTACAGAAGGTTGGCTCAGTTGGAAATTGTGCGTAATATGATGAAATGTCTAGACACATACCCACCAAATTTTTTTTTGGTGTGTGCTAGGAAAGGGAATCTCATCCTCATGTTAACCTGGTTTAATATAAATCTTTCCACCCTCTGTGCTGTTCCTTTCCTGACAGTTAATAAAGCGATTTCCAATTAAAACTTTCATTTTGTTGGTCTGAACCCCCCCCCCACAACTTTTTTTTTTAGGGTTTGCTACAAGTGGCTGCCTTCCAAGGATTGTTCCATGTCTATTAGTGTAGAAGTTCATCCTAGGTAGGAGGGAGAGTGCAGCAGTCTGTGCAGTATAATCTTGCCCATGTGGCAGAAATCGTCATAATGTGGCTTACATGGTTCTTGAGTACAGCACATAGCCTTTAATGTGGAAATACAGATTGGGGTTTGTGGGTCAAGATGGATAGTAGGACCTGTAATATCTGGAGGCTTCACCACCGTCTTAAGCATGAAGCAACTTAGGTGTGGTGTTTAGGGGTTCTGGCAAAGAGCTAATAAGGCCCCCTACAGCTTGTTTGTACAGATAAATTAACTTGAATTAAGGTAAATTGTGACTCCAAAATATGAGGAGCTCTTCCTGATTAACGCTCTTTGTGAACACTCACATTTTAAATAAGTGTGTCTTACCCAAGTTAATTCAATGCGTTGAACTGATATGCAATAAGGTACTTCTGTTTTGAGATCACCACAACAACTGCACAAGGCGTTAAGCAGAAATAGCTATTCTGAAATAGCTTCCATGTCTAATACAAACCCCTTTACTTGACCAAAAAGTTAGTGTTCCTGATGTTAGGTGATATCTGTTAGTTTGATGTTGGTAATGCGTTGCTTTCTGTACAGTAATTCTTAATGGGGGTTAAAATGTACTTGTGACAGGTGAAGGAACTCTCACTACAGGTGAAAAATGACATGGGCAGTGCTTTGTTCCAGGTGCTGAGGAAGTCTTATTGCTTGCAAGAAGGACAGATTTGCGAAGAATCTCCTTGGACATGCCAGATTTCACTGATATCATTCTGCAAATAGACAATATCAGGCATGCAATTGCAATAGATTACGATGCTGTTGAAGGATATATATATTGGACTGATGACGATGTCAGGGCGATTCGTCGGGCCTACCTCGATGGCTCTGGAGCGCAGACCCTAGTGACCACAGAAATCAACCACCCTGATGGCATTGCAGTGGATTGGGTGGCTAGGAACCTCTACTGGACTGACACAGGAACAGATCGCATTGAAGTGACTCGATTGAATGGGACATCCAGAAAGATCCTGATATCCGAAAATCTAGATGAACCCAGGGCAATAGTGCTGAATCCTGTGATGGGGTGAGGAGTTCTTGTTTTATTTTGTTTTATTGCCCTGTGGTCAATCTTTTCTAAGCCCTGTCTGGGGTTCTGCAAGACTATAACAGCTAATTAGTAGGTGATAGAGATGCTCTTTGTCAGAGATCACGATTTTCACTCCTTGTCTTCTGTCAAAATCAGTATATTGCATGCTTTCATCTAATAAGTTTTATGTAGCCTTTTGGGCCTTACTATTCCTTATCCTTAATGTTATTGTAAATAGTAAAGAATGGTGCCACTGCCCATGCTGGATAACTGCTTTTTAAGGCTCAGTCCTTAGATTATTGTCATTAACTGACTGCCAGTGGAGTTATTAGTTTGATTACTGCCCCATGAGACTACCAAGGGAGAGTTCTCTCAGCAGGTTACAAACCCCAAGTTGAACATCAGTAACTTACTGTAACATAAATACGTGTTTATTTGTTCTTACTGTTGTTGTTGGCTTTGTTTTGTTTGTTTTCCCCTACAGCTACATGTACTGGACAGACTGGGGTGAAAGTCCAAAGATTGAGTGTGCTTATCTGGATGGCTCAGAGAGGAGAGTCCTGGTAAACACTTCCCTAGGCTGGCCCAATGGCTTGGCACTGGATCTTGAAGAAGACAGACTCTACTGGGGAGATGCAAAAACGGACAAAATTGAGGCAAGTAATAATAAAATGGAACGTTTGTGCATTCCCAGAAAACAAAAGGAAGAACTATCCCTGCAAGCATGTGTAGGGCCTGGAATGTTTAGGAATCCACTTAATGATACGCTGCCCTTAAGTAGGTCCTGCTTAAAGCACCTGAGAATCTTGTGGAATAGCGGGATGCTCAAGTGAAATCCATTTATAGGTTTTTTGACTTGGCCATAATTTCTGGAATAATGAAATTTCTACATGCAGAGGGACTGATTTAAGGCTACAGCAAGACAGTAGGTGGATGTGGTGTCTCAGATTGTGGGGGCAGGGAAAGGCATAATATTTAACATATTGTGATGTTTGCACGCCCGTTCTTTTGGTAGGCTCTGTAGAAATCTATGCAGAGACCATGATGTAGATAGATACAAGAGGAACTGAATGGGAAAGGAAGGCTGGAAACAACCTCATTAAATTTTTATGAAAATTATTATGCCTTCTACTTTTGTTAGAGTTATGAAAGGTGAAATAATATCAAGCAGATCTAATACTCTGTGATTTTTATGTTATTGAACAAATAACATAATTCATCCCATCCTGTTTAGCACAGAGAGTAGTCAGGTTTCTTTTTCCCTGGCTTGGAAATCTTGTGTGCTATACAAAGTTTAGCAAAGTGGAAATGCTGTTGTAAGGAAAAGAAAGTAGGAAGGATGCCTCTGAGTGCTGCTGAAGAATCATTGCTTTTACATCTGAGACCTGCTCATGTAGGTCTCCAAACATATCAGGTGATGGCCTCTGGCTTTCACCTAGACTACAGCTGGGTTTAACTAGCAATACGTGCATATTCTACAGGGTCTTAATGCATAAATGGTATAGTAGTTGTCTGTCATGGGGGCACTTAGGTGCCCCGTTCCTGAGTAGAGATTAGGGCAGCTCAGCTGTGGGTTGTGGGAGTAACCAGGTCGGCCATGTGACCGGAAGGGGGCAGGGCTGGGCCCTTATAAACAGCTAGGCCGGAGCCTGGCTGGCAGTTCCCTTCTGGCAGCCTGCGTGTAAGAGCTCTGTGGGAGAGCTAGACTGAGCAGTGCCGCTTGGCACTTAGAGATCTGCATTATGGTGCAGGCGGAGAGAAGCCTGACTAGAAGGCTTTGGCCCGAGAGCCAGGACGGCTGGGACTTGATGTAGAAGCCGGTAGGCTGATTGTGTTGTTATAGCCGGTGGGCTTATGATTTGGGTTGCAGCCGGTTGGCTTATGTTTCAGTTGTGTGTATC